CAGCTGTCCTGGAACTCACTATGTAGACCAGGCTGGCCTTGAACTCAGAGAGATCTTCCTGCCTCTGCCTCCCAGTGCTGGGACTAAAGGCATGTGCCACCAGGCCTGGCCAAATTTTAAATTTTAAAAAATTAATTTGTTCATTTTTCTGTGTATGAGGGTCTTGCCTACATGTATGTAAATGCACCAATTTGTGCAATATGCGTGGAAGCCAGAAGAGGCATCTGATCCCCTGGAACTGGAGTGAGTTAGCCACCATATGGATGCTGGGAACTGAACCTGGGTACTCTCTAAGAGCAGTGAGTGTTCTTAACTGCTGAGCCATCTTTCTAGCCCCAGGATTTCATTTTGAATTAAAAAAAAAAAAATCCTCTGGTCTCTGGTACAGTTGACAAACATAATTTTTCTTAAACTTGTAAGTTGAGTGTTAGTAATACTTTTTTTTTTTTTTTTTTTTTTTTTTTAAAGTGGCAGCTGGCACTCCAGAGATTTAGGCAGGAGGTTTGTGAGTTCAAAGCCAGCCCTGGGCTACATAGTGAATTCCAGGCTAGTAGCTAGCCAGCAAACAGAAAAATGATAGCTATGATTTTCTTTCTGAGTTGATAAATGCACTTCATCAAGAATATGGAGAATTGTGGGTCTAGAAAGATGGCTTAGCAGTGAAGAGCACTGGTTATTCTTGTAGAAGACCCAGGTTGAAATCCCAGCACCCATATGGTGGCTAACAACTGTCTGTAACCCCAGTTTCAGGGGATCTTACATCCTCTTCTGTCCTCTGCAGGCATTGCATGACACGGGTGCACTTACACACATGCAGGTATAACACTCATACACATACAATAAAAATTTAAAAAAAAAAAGAAATGGAAGTTGGGTGTGGTGGTGTATGCCTTTAATCCCAGCACCCAGGAGGCAGAGGGTGTGTCTCTGTGAGGTCAAGGCCAGCCTGGGATGGTCTACATAGCATGTTCCTGGTCAGCTGGGGCTACAAAGAGACCCTGTATCAAAAGACAAAACAAAAAAATTGGTTTCATGTTTGAAACAAAATGAGTAATTGATTTTTAAGTGTAACTTGCCTTCTACGAATTCAGTATCAAAGCTAAATTATTTTAATTATGTAGATTAATGAAAAGGGAAATATGGCTATGTTTTTTGGGATGTGCACTTGAGTAAATTTTGAACAGATAAATTTATACTAAACCATATAAGTAATTAGGTGGGTTTTTTTTGTTTCCTTCCAAGGTATCCTTTGTGTGGCTGATCAATGTCATGGCTTACGAGAACTGGCCCTGAACTACCATTTACTAAGTGATGAGTTGTTACTTGCTCTATCCTCTGAAAAACATGTTCGATTAGAACATTTGCGCATTGATGTAGTCAGTGAGAATCCTGGACAGACACACTTCCATACTATTCAGAAGAGCAGCTGGGATGCTTTCATCAAACACTCACCCAAAGTGAACTTAGTGATGTATTTTTTTTTATATGAAGAGGAATTTGACCCATTCTTTCGTTATGAAATACCTGCCACTCATCTTTACTTTGGGAGATCAGTAAGCAAAGATGTGCTTGGTCGTGTGGGAATGACTTGCCCTAGACTTGTTGAACTAGTAGTATGTGCTAATGGATTACGGCCCCTTGATGAAGAGTTAATTCGAATTGCAGAACGTTGCAAAAATTTGTCAGCCATTGGACTGGGGGAATGTGAAGTCTCATGTAGTGCCTTTGTTGAGTTTGTGAAGATGTGTGGTGGCCGCCTATCTCAGTTATCCATTATGGAAGAGGTATTAATTCCTGATCAAAAATATAATTTGGAGCAGATTCATTGGGAAGTATCCAAGCATCTTGGTAGGGTATGGTTTCCAGACATGATGCCCACTTGGTAAGGATTGCATGATGTAGGACATGATGAATAAATAGCACCTTAATCTCAAGCAAATGTATTATAATGAAATCTATTTACTGTAGTTGTGATGTAATTCTATTTTGTGGCACGAAAATTTGGTATTTTCAGTGAGTCTATAGATTGATTGTTGGAAGACCTACGAACCAGTCTGAAAACTCCCATTTCTCTTTCAGCCTAATAGCAATCAAATCTTTAAAAAAAAAAAGAAAAATGTGGTTTCATATTTTAAAGTAATTATAAAGATTAAACAGTTCATAGTCTGAAGGAAACAAGCTATATATTCTAATAAGTATGAAGTGATAGGTTTTCTGAAATGTTATGTTCTCTATGCATTTTTAAAAAATGTAACCTTGATATTTTAGGGTCTTTAGTTCTAAATACACCTGTTATAAGGTGTTTAATATAGCTCAGGAAAGTGAGCGTTTAGTGAGAAACGTATGATTTATCATATCTAATGATGAGAAAAAGATTGGTTGAATGTTTTCAAATGTTATGAAGCTATTTTTAAAAATAAAGAGATGTATAAATATTGGAGCATGTAGAACACAGATAAATATCACACAGAGGTTAATATAGAAGGATAGCACACAGAGCCAAGATCAAATTTAAAGAAAATAAATGGAATTGAAAGGTAGTATTTAACTTTGTATACTCTTTCAGATTTTCTGTGTAATCTGCCAAACCATATAAGTTCTTTTCTGTGATATTTTACTAATATATGTGGCGCTTGAGGCATTGGTATGTAAAGTAAGGAATGCTTTACTAGTTCTTGGTTTTGTTGATCTTTGTTTAGTTTTTAACTATTACACAATAATTTAAATGAAAATCTTACCTACTTAAAAAAGCCAAATTGAGATAATTAAAAGTAGAACTTTATAAATTGTTCATGAACTATTTCCATGAAAGATTACTTTCCAAAGATTAATTCTAGTGATGGCTCATTTTTTCAGTTTGGAATCACATAGCTACATGAGTACAGTTTTAAAAGTCAAAAGGAGCATCAGAGTACAGTTCTAAAACATTAAATTTAATATATGTAAGTTCATAATCGTATTTTTGAGTAAATATTGCTCAGTGGAACTGGAACATTTTAATAGAAAAAGATCTGCAGGTTTGTGATTATTAATTTGGCCCAAACTGGTATTCTATATTATTTAAGTTTGTAGCATTTTATATTACTTTCATATGAATATGGTAAACCCATGACTTTGTAGAGCTTGTAAAAAATACTCAGTTGTGGGCTACATTTAGTTATTTTAGACATGAGCTTTGATTCTGGGCACTAGTGCTAGTAGATATTACTTTCCTAAAAGAAATTAGAAGTGGTTTGCCCAGTGGAATACAAAAATGCCCAGAGTGTGACCTTCACTCTTCACTAGTGTGACCTTTAGAAAGCACCTTGATAGTCTTGAAAGCCAGCAGTCCTCAAAATTTGATGACCTTCCTCAGAATAAAGTAAAATGTGGCATTCTGCATAATTTATGCTTTCAAAAGTGGCAGTATTCTGCCATTCTGGCACATGCCATGAGAAGGAAAAGGCTGATCCAGACTTCAAAATTAAAAGCAATTATTAGAATATTTTCACTTACTAAGTAGCAAGAAGCTTTGTACAAGAAATACTTGTGCTAGTTAATGAGGTCTTTTTTTTCTTTTTTTTAAACAACTTTGGAAAATGGATTTGACATATATAGTTGGTTCTACTAACCAAAGCCGTATTTGAAAACTTACCTTTTGTACAAATTTAAAGTATATAATGCTTGAATACTTATAAGTCACTTTATAAGCAAAATGCATAGCACTTAATTTGTTTATACTGTAAAGTATATGTTAAATGGTTTTATCAATTTGAGAATAAAGATAGTTACTAATGCTGTTGTAATTTTATAACTTAAAAGTTACTTAAACATATACGTATTTGACTCAGTTGTGGCCTATATTTAGTTATAGTTGACACTTAACGAAGTTGCGGTTTTAATTTCAGATCTGTATTTGATAGATTTTTAAGCACTGTGGTAGACTTTTGAAAATATAAAGTTAGGCATATGGAATCTATTCTTAAGCTCTAATGCATGTGAAATTTACCATGAAATGTAAATTTATCTTAAAATTTTACACAACAGTTGTTAAAAATAATAGGTTCTCTCTGCATTCAGAATGAGAATTTATCATTACAGTCTACTTAAAATAGGATTCTTGGGGCTGGAGAGATAACTCAGCAGTTAAGAGCACATAACTGCTCTTGAGAAGACTTGAGTTTGGTCCCAGGCTCCCAGTACCCACATTGGCCAGCTCACAGCCACCTGTAATCACAACTGTAGGGGGTCCAAGGCCTCTGGCCTCTGTGGACACTTGGACTTAGTGCACATACTACCACATAGAAATACACATAACCATAATTTAAAAAATAAGTCTCTTTTCTCAATTTTGAGTTTTTGTGTATTTCATCCAAAAGATCTTAATCAAATTTAGACTCCCTCCTCCCTGTCCCCCATAGTACCCCCACCAGATTTCAGATATTCTGTCCTATATGTTAAGTCCTACCTAGTGAAGCATTTGTAACCAGATATCCTTTGGTGCAAATTCATCCACTGGAGTCTAGTCAGCCTATCTAGAGTCACTCCCTTAAAGATCTACTCTCCCTCACCCCACAGTAATCATTTGCCAGTAGTTCCTTGGTTAGGGCTGGGGCCTGCTGCCCATTTCCCTCCTTCTGTGCTGGGGTTTTGTCTGATTGAGTTGGCATGGGTCTTGTAGATAAGAAATCTTTTTTTAAAAATAGAACTCTTAAAGAGATTAAAAGTCTTAAAGATTCCTTTAACTCAGCCAGCCATTTTAGAAAGAAATGTCTATATAAACCAGAATAGTTTCTAAACCATGGAAATTATTTTAATCTTCTGTCTTAAGTAGGTTTCAAAAAACAACTTCAATTTACTGTGGTAAGCTGGACTATATATATATTTTTTAAAGGCATTATAATGGGCCTGGAGAGATGGCTCAGCGGTTAAGAACATTGAATGTTCTTGCAGAAGACCTGGGTTCGAATCCCAGTACCCACATGGCAGCTAACAACTGTTCGTAACTCCAGTTCCAGGGGATCCAACAGCCTCTTCTGTCCTCCACAGGCATTGCACGACATGGGTGCACTTATCTACATGCAGGCAATACATGCATACGCATAGAAAAATAAATAAATAAAAAGGCATTATTGAAGAGTAAGTTATTGCAGTCCGTGGGAAACATCTTTATATTTGAGGTCAGTTTTAATGTTAACAAAGTAAGGAATATATCATGTTTATTAACACCAAACCACTTTTTTTATAAAAAAGTCATTTTCTCAGAGAACCGAAAGCTTATTCTTAAAATGAATAATCAGTCCCCCCAAAATGTTAATAGCCTAAATTATTTTAAGTAGGAAAGAAAGTCTAGGAAGGCAATTCGAAGAGCATGAAGCTTCTTGGACAGTAAAGGGTAAGAAAAAGTTGTGACTGTGTTTAAAAAATAAGCTGGGTGTGGTGGTGCAGACTTTATCCAAGGTATTTAGGAGCCTGAGGCAGGAGTATTGAAAGTTCAAGGTTTGCCTGGACTGCAAAGCTAGTGAAAGGCAGCATGGGCAAACTGGTGAGACCTTATTTCAGAAAGTAAAATGGGGGTAGGGGTTAATTGTTCAGTGGTAGAGCATTAGCATGTGTGAGGGCCTCGGTTCAGTTCTCAGTACCACCAAATACATTTTTGTAACCTTAAAGAAAAAATTGTGTTCTTTGACAACTTCATATATGTATTTTGGTAATTTTCACTCCCCATCACCCTCTCTCCCACTCTTGCTGACCTTCCCAACAAGTCTCTCCTTTCGTGTCTCTTTTTTTTTCTTTTCTCTACAACTCTGTGGTCCACATTAATTAAATTTTTATGCATTTCCAGGTTAGTTCCAGCTCAGTTGTTCTAAGTCCTGTGTCTGAAGTGTACACTGTCTTCAGCAATAGGGTCTTCCAAGTTCTGGGAGGCAATAAAGGGCTGTGGCAGTAGGCTGTGTTATTTTGGGAGTCTCTTGGACTACCCTGACCAACAACTCAAAGAGGTTTTCCTTGCCTAGCACTGAATTTTTCTTTTTTTATAGCCTTCGGGTATACACATCTACTCATACATATATCTTGTATGTGTATTTTTGGTAGCTTTTGAACTCACACATTTCCCTCTGGTTTTTCACACTGCCTAAGCATTATCTCTCCCCCTCCCCCCCATATAACCCTTTCTCTCCCTCCCCAGCTAAAATAGCTGTTTTCCCCCATTTCTCTCGATAATACCTATTGCCCCCACCCCCTCTTGAGCTTCTTCCATTTTATCCGCATTGTTCCTTGACTAACTCTCCCTCTTCCTTTCCTAGGTAAATACACCCATTTTCCCCATTGCCCCCTTGGTAACACCTGTCTCAAACTATTCCCCCACCTCTCTCCCTCCCCCACTTTTTCTCTCAGGTTCCTCCCCCCCCCTTTTACCCCTACGGTTCCTTTCTATTTTCCTGGCTTCTACAGTTACATCAGGATATATACTCAAAAGGATTTGGAGCTAAGAGCCATGAATGAGTGTGTGTGCACACACACACACACACCACCCCCCATCTTATTTTTTGAGTCTGTGTTGCTTTTTTTTTTTTTTATCCTGGTGACCCACTGAGTTTGAAGTTATTAGCGTGAGGAATTTTCTGCAGCTATACCACTGAAGAAAATGACTCCTCTCCCCCAGCAAACATTAAGGCTGGGGACTCGCATGACATTTCCATTCATAATGGAATGATGCAGCCCTATTTGGTGCTGGTAAACACAGCTGCTGTGGGTTCATGAGTGCAAAGGCCTTGTTATGTCCAGAGCCAGCATTTTGTAGTGCCTCTCCCCATCCTCTGGCTCTTAGTATTCTTTCCCTCTCCTCTTCCATGTCTTAGAGGGAGTAATACAGATGTTGTTTAGGGCTGAGCACTCAACAGTCACATATTCTCAGCACCCTGACCCAGTTATGAGAGACTGGGCAAATTTTTCCCCCTGATCTTTCTAAGGAGATACTGCTTGAGGATACTCAACTCACATTTTGGAGATTCTCTCAAGAGATGACACTGCATTTACTTATTTAATACTGAGCCAGATTAATGGGTAAGGATATATTTATTCTAAAGACCTAATATTAAAACTTTAACAAGAATGGTTTCTCTTAAGGGAAATTTTATACATTTACACTTCAATAGTGAAAAAGAAACACAGAGTAACTCAAGTGGTAACAAAATTTAACTGGCAGGTCCTATTTTTAATAAGTAGACACTAAAACTGGCTGGGCAGTTTTGGGGTAGGGGAAACTAAAGTTTTTTTTCTTTTTTTAAATAATTCATTTTTATTTGTATGAATGTATTGTCTGTGTGTATGTAAGTGCACCCATGTCATGCAACACCCATGGAGATCAGAAGAGGACATCAGATCCCCTGGAACTAGAATTACAACTGTTAGCCACCATGTTGGTGCTGGGAATCAAACCCAGGTCCTCTGCTTTTACCTCTGACCCATCTCTCCAGCCCCTATAAACAGTTTTTTTCTAAAAGCCAGAAACATCCTTGGTCCTGTGGACAGTTCTACCCTTGCCACAGCCAGAGGTGCCAGAAGTGTTTGAGCCAAAATGTCTTTGATTCTGCCTTGGCCAGAAAGCCAGTGCCAGAAGAGAGGTTTCTCCTTACCTCTCTTCTCCCAGATGAGCATGCCTACCTGGAATTGATACATGAGGGTGTGACCAAGAGGACATGTGGTTAGGCCAGCTGGACTGAGCAGCTCATCCCCCTTGTCATTCCTCACCTAGGTTTCTGCAATAAGTCCTTTAAAAAGCCCCTGCACTAGTAGTTCCATGCTATCCCATCGCCCAGGACCCACTGTACGGTGTGCTTTTTTAAAGCTCCCACCTTTCTGTCTATAAAATTCCTTTCTAAAGGTATCCTTTTGTCCATGAATTTCATTCTTTGAATTTGCATATGAGAACCCAGAGCTCATTGACACTGGAAGTTTTGTGTGATGTGATAATGAGCATCAGGCATCCTGAGTTAAAAGCCCACCTAGGGAGAAAGCATACTTCAAACTCAAAGACACCCCCTTTTCCTGTATCATTTTGATTTCCCAACTCCTACTTGAATGTTCTACTTCAAAGTAGTACTTAATCTTACAAGTAGACTTCCCAGTTTGATAAATTCTTGGGAATGTGAATTCTATATGCCCTCTGTTAACCACCACCTGGGTGACTATACAGTACTTCCACAGAATTTAATACTCTAAATAATGAAATACTAGAATGCTTTTTAACATAACTTTTAGAAGCTTGTTTTAAAAGTAAGATTTGGGGCTGGAGAGATGGCTTAGCAGTTAAGAGCACACTGGCTGTTCTTGCAGAGGACAGAGGTTCTATGTTTCCAGCACCCACATGGCAACTAACAACTGTCCATAATGCCAGTTCCAGGGGCTCTGGCTGGCGCCCTCTTCTGGCCTCTGTGGACATTGCACTTATGGGTGCACTTACCTACCCTGCAGGCAGAATACTCAGACACATTTAAAAAAAAAACTTTTTCCAGAGTAACTTAAAAGAATTTGGAAGAAATTAGTGTTGCCTTTGTTTAGCCACTAGATGGTAGTAAAGATCCTTTCTTGCTTTATGTTCTGAAGACAACTGGCAGATCAAAGAGGTATAGGCAGTGTCACTGTGAATGGCAAGCTCAGTGAGGGCAGTGGAAGACAGCTGCCTCCTGAAGACAACTCTACCTCTGTGTAGTGCGAACTTCTCCAGTCATCTTTGGTCACTGGGTCTTGGACTATTGTGAGGCCTACACTTTTGAAGAGTAAAAATGAATTCTTTGACACATGAAATAGGAACAAAGATGCAAAGTCCAAGTTTTTTTTCTTTCTTTTTAATTAGATTGAACAGAAACAAAATACAGACTGGTAAGTTTGGTGGACAGAGAGTAGTCTGAAGACCACAATTTAAGTACTGCTGACAAACATACAGTGCGACCAGTTTATCCAGCATAACCTGAGTCAAAGTGCAATTCTATTACTATTATCGGGTGGCCTTGGAGAGGTCACTTAACCTTGCTCTAAGCCCCATTTACTCTCTTGGGCCAGTCAATATCTGTGTAGCTTTTTATGAGAGCTCAATGCTAATGCACTAACCTCTCAGGAAGCACTTAAATGTTAGGTGAAACTGAGTAACTGACACATTATTTTTCCACCCCATCATTGTACCGGTGTGTTCATAGGGGCAAACAGAACAAAACAAAACTGGGTTCATTTGATTATAAAATGCAGACAGCTTGTTTGATGGCTCCAGTGCAAGCACAAAGACTTTAAAGCCCTTGACAAAAACCCATCCTTTCCCTGGAAAGTGTGCCTCTTCTGCTGTGCGGGCTGAATGGGTTACAGGACACAGACCTGCAGGTCATGGAGAGGGAGCCAGAAAGACAGTTCTCTCAGCCAGAGTGCAGCCGGATACTTGGTCCTGGATGTCCAAAAAGCTGCTGAAGCAGCCTGCAGTGTGTAGCAGCTCAAGGTCTAGGTGATTATAAAACCCAGGAAAGGCTGGCCTGTAACCTACATTAGGCAAAATCAAGGATGAGAGCTTGTGCTTTGATTAATCCTGGTAGTCCTGAATACATAAACATTCAGCCTGCCTATCCCATGCCAAATACACCTGACTTCAATCTTCACATTCCTGGAGGATGAATCATTTTGGAGACAAGGGTACAAATCTTAAGATATTTCATTGCTTGCATCACAAAAGACAGTTGCTAGCTTATTCTAAAATGCTGCCCAGAAATTCTCTTTAATACTGTATTTCCCACGTCTGGAAACTCAGCTCCAGCAGTAGTGTCTAGTCAGATGCTTAAGGTTATATGAATAGAAAGTAGTCAGACCTGGAGCTTGATGTTACAACCACTGTAAGGACAGTCCAGAGGACCAAAATGACCTCAACCGAAGCAGCAGCACACTTGTACCAGGAAAAATAACTCCATGAAAATGTCCTATTGGAACCAAAGAATCCAACCTGAGATCAATCATAATTTTCTGTAAGATCAAAATTGAGACTACAATGCCCTTGGCCAATATAATTAGGGTTTCAGGTTTTTTTTTGAAGAGAGTCTTCAAATGTTCATATGCAGCAAACCCAACAATGTATGTTTTGCCTTTGTGCCCCAGAGGAAAAGCAAATAGATACACAAATGTAAAAACTTCCCCGAAATAAATGGTGCTGGTAGTGGGAGAAAAGAGCAGTAGAAAGTTGTTATAAACCAGGAAATGTTTTCTGTCTGGTAGGCAAAGGGATTTCTTCATATGTTATTTTAATAAAAGGGAACTTCATAGGTAGAAACCAATACTCAAAATTATAAAACAAGTAGAAATGTCTGTGTATAATCACTGAATCAAAAATTTCCAAGAAATTCAGCAGAAATTCTTTAGTTGACAAATGTGGTTTGAAGGGGTAATAAAATTTTTTTATGGCTAAAGCAAGAGTCTTGTTTCCTTTTGGCCCAAAAATAGATGTTTCATTTCCCAAGTAAGTAGGTTCTCCACTATAAAGAAATATTCTTGTATAGTTTGTTTCTGTCTTTGTGAATTCTGTTCCAAATTCAGCCAGCTTTTCATATGTTCTCAATACAAATTTCGAACAGTCATAGGACTCAAACCATGTCTCCGCTCCTTTTCCTGGGCTGGCCTGGACGGTCCAAGTCTCATAATAAATTCCTGTTTCATTGTCCTGCTTCACCCACTTGGCCATTTTGTTAAACGTGTTTCCTAGTTAAAAAAAAAATAAAATAACTATATGACCATCAAAACCGATCATGTTTAGTTTTAAATAAAATGCTAGGACCTTACAATTAAGACCATGGTTTACAAACAGGAGTTACTTAAATTTCCAAACCTGTATCTTATAATAGGAACCCAAGCTCAGCTACTTTTTCTTCCCTTCTTCAAGGCCTTGCTGAATTATAAGTATTAGATATAATGGGATGGAGATTTTACTTCTTACTGATTCCATAATCATTTAAGCTATGGTCAAAGTGGTCAGAAGTAAGAGTATAAATACGCAGTGGCTTGCTTTCTCTACCCTACTCAACAAGTCTTCAATTCAGAAACAAAAGAGAAACCAGAAGCATGGAAGGACTGTAGAAGAGGGAGAGGTGAACTGATAGAATGAAGGGCAGTGGTTGACCTGATGCTTATGGGGAGCAGCAACTACTGCTTAAGCTGCAAGCAGCCTCTCACCCCCTCTTCTCCCTGTATTTATTGTGTATTGAGATAATGCTGACTACCCACCATGCAGATTCTTCCAGTATATCTACCAAACCTGCAATTGTTTGGGCCTTCGTTGACTACACAGACTACAGATGGCTAAGTCTTTACCCTACCTTGCATCAGAGTAGAAGAATCTTTCCAAATATTTAAAAAATGCTGCTGCTCTGCAACTCACAACCCTTGCCAAGGCATTTGTTTGCACAATAGATCTAGGCCCCCAAATCTTACTTTCTCCACCCAGCTCTGTGACCTTGAAGGACAGGTCAGTCATGGCAGTTGACTGAATCTCAGATCAGTTCTGTATCTGTAGAAGAACAAGGAATTTTATCCTCCCTCACTGAATTATGAGTTTACACAACCTTAAACTGACTTGTAAAAACTGACAAATAGAAACCCCAAATCATTTCCTCAAGTCTTGGGATTCATGCACTAATTATCACAGTAGTGCTTTGATTTCAGCTGTTTCTGCTTTTGTGGATAACCATCTACAATGTAGTGTTCCATACATGGTAGGAGGAGGCCCTCAATTCAGAAATGCAATGGTAATATTCGCTACATGAAGCAATGGGCCAGTAAGGTTAAATGTGACTGAAGGTCACATAATGAGCTACTGACAAAAGTTCTGCTCAGCTGTTACTAACCAATGTTGAGGGCATGCAAAATTCCAACTGTGTCAGCAACAGAACAGCAAATGTCTGAGATGAACATTCAAGTTGCTCAAGAGGGCTTCTAATATGATCATACACATTTGGGGAGGTGGTGTACCAAAGCTGTTAAAAGAATGGCCTATGGGGCTTTACTGGCAGGACTGGCGTCCAGCCCACTAACTGTACAGCTTTACCCAGTGTCTCAGCTTCCCAACTGCACAATAGGGGAAAATGATTTTCTCAGGAGTCTACGGTGCTGATATATATGTACGGCACTCTGAACAGAGCCAGGCCCAGAGTAAGCAAGCTATTATTATTTCTCAACATAAAAATAATTTGCTAGGGACTTGAATGATGGCTCAGCAGTTAAGAGCATTGGCTGCTCTTGTAGAGGACTCGGGTTCAATTCCCAGCACCCACATGGCAGCTAACAACTATCTGTAACTCCAGTTCTAGGGGATCCAATGCCCACTTCTGACCTCCACAAGCATTGCACGACACTGATGCACTAACACATATGCTGGCAATACAGTCACACATAAAATAAAAACACACTATTTTAAAAATTTTGCTAATTTTTTTTTTTCAGATATAGCTAATAGGTCTTTTACTCTGGCATCTCATGGAGTCCCCTTCTCCTTATTTGGGTTTCAATTTAACTGTACAAAGCATTATTTCATTCCTATTTACCACAGACAGGAGATAAGCCCTGCGTGAGGACCAGCTTGGGTCAAAGTGTAGTGGTTCCAGAAGTGCATCCTACAAATGACCTCCATGAGGCAGAGTGTGACCGAATGTGAATGTCTCTGTGAAAGGGATTTCATTCATGTGCATGCTGATTCAATCATCAAATACTGCCTTATTTTTGGAACTTACCAGATATGGTCGCTACTAGAGCTAATGTCCCATTTTCCTTCCAGTGTTTGTCATCAATTCCTTCAAAAAAGCAGGCTGCTCCTTGGTTACACCAGAAAGGAGCATCCATTTCAGGTCGAAGGTGGGGAAATGTACAGTTCCCAAGCTGGAAAAGCTCATACCATTCCATGGTGTAGTTCTTGCCAGTCAGTGTACTCCTGAATCCAATAGCATCGTGCATGATTTTCTGTGTAAAGAGGGAATACTGCTGTGAAGCCATCTGTGGAGTAACCATGGGTCCTGGTCACCTGCTGCATGCCAAGCAGAATGACAGCTCAGGGGCTTCTCTTCTGTGTCACTATCCTTGTGGTCACACTGTGCCCATCAAGCTCCAGATACCCATTACTCTAGGCTTGGCCACTGGGGCTCATCTTAGCAGGGATGTGACTATAGGAAGACACTTGAAATTTTCTTACAGCGTACAGTAAGTATGAAAAGCTCCCATGCACATCCCAGGAAGGAGCTTGCCTACCTGCCAGGGTGATTCACTGAGTTAGGAAAGGGCTTACAGTAGGTCTTGGAGATCAAAGTCACACCTGCCTGCCTTGCCCTTCTGGGCTCTTTGTTTTTTTTGGTCTTTTTGAGACAGGGTCTCCCTGTAGCCCCAGCTGCCTGGCTGCCTGGAACTCGCTCTGTAGACCAGGCTGGCCTAGAACTCACAGAGGATCTGCCTGCCTCTGCCTCCCAAGTGCTGGGATTAAAGGCGCCACCACACCTGGCTTGGGCTTCCTTTCTTATTCCCAGGAGCTGTGTAGGGTAGAGGAGTTGGATTTAGATCCATCCTAGCAAAAGGGATTAAGGCAAGTGCATTTGTTACTGATCATAGTTTTTTTGTTTGTTTTTGAGACAGGGTCTTATGTCGTCACCTAGACTGACTCTTAACTGGTAATTCTAACTCAGCCTCCCAAATGCTGGGATTACAGGTGTGTACCACCATTTGAGCTTAATGGTAACTTTGACTACCTATTTTAAATGTGCTACAAAGTACACCATGGGTTGGGGAGATGTCTGAGTGGGTAAGAGCATTGACTGTGCAAGCCTGAGGAGCTGAGTTCAAATCTCCAGCACCTACCTATAAGCGCTGGCATGTGTCTATTACCCTATTACCCCAGTGTTGAGGGGAGACAACAGGCTAACTGGCTGGCCATTTTAGCTCAAAAGTGAGCTTCAGATTCAGTGAGAGATCTTGTTTCAAGCGAATATGGTCGAAGATGATAGTTATCTCTGCATGCACGTGCACCATGCATATACACACAAACAAATGTACACACACAAAGTGCATCAATAAATGTGATCTAATAGTGGCCATTTGATTACTTAGTCAAATCAAAGTAATAACTAAACTATTGGGCAAAGTTACAAGATCAAGATGCATCCTTACCAAGTGTCCGAGGAGATCTCCATATTTAAATTCCCAAACAGGGGCTTGTAATCTTAAGACTTCAATGATGTCATTATCTTTCATAACTGGGATGGGTGAACCAGTGGGACAAAAGGTGTACTTAGCCTGACAGTAGGGATCAGGCTCTGGACGGAAGGAGAAGCGCCTAGAGGAAAGAGAGTCAACAATCAAACCAGATCCTAACAGGAATAGGTTCTTTGTCCTTTTCACACATTTTAGAATCTCTATTTTTAGTTCAGGCTCAGCAATACACACACACACACACACACACACACACACACACACACACACGTGTGTCTGTATGGGGGGTGGTATGTACATGTGTGCAGGTGCCTTTCTTTGGTTGCTCTCCTCCTTTATTTTGGGGACAGGGTCACTCAGTGAACTGGGTGGCCAATGAGCTTCAAGGATCTTCTTTCCTCTGCCTTTCCCCCCATAAGGCTAGGGTTACAGATACCACCATGCCCAATTTTTACATGAGTTTAGGGGATCCATTCTTAGGTCCTGTAACTTGTACTGTAGGCACTGAGCCATCTCCCCAGTCCTCAGCAACATTTTTTCAGGAAAACATTTAAAGCTTCCTTAGATCGTAGTGAATAGATATATATACACATATGTTTTACTTGTTTTCCTATACACACTTCCAATGATGTCTTAAATAGCAAATCATAAAGCAGATTTTATATTTAAAAATAAACATTCATTCAACTACTATTTACAGACAATCTATTGTGTAGTACTACACTGGGAAGGAGAGGAACAAAAATGCTATCCCTGTACCCCTCCTCACCAAGTTTTGGGTGGAGGCTGGGAAGATACTCAACCAATAAGACGGTACACTGTGATAAGTGTTAAACTGAGGAGACGGAGTCCAAAGGCGCAAAGGAGAGAGAAATCACTTTCACTTCATGGGGATGGGTAGAGCTGGCAGGCAAAGGCAGGTAAGATCTGGCCCTTGGTTTTAAAGCACTTGAGAAGAAGACTAGGGCAGAAAAGGAGAGAAAGGATTATTAGAAGGCAAGCAGGACATATCTGAAGGTTCTCCAGGAAGTGCAGAAAACCAGGATTCAGGCTTCAGGGCAAAAGTAGAAAGAGGCTGACGTTCTGTTGCTTTGTGAAACAAAGCTCCCAGAGTGCCCAACTAGGGGACTTTGCGCTCCCAGTGACTTTAGAGAGCTTAAGAAGCAGATCTGAAAGGGCTGAGCATGCCAGAAAAGGAATCCTTATTTTATGAATCAGAAGAGTGGGAGAGGCCAAATTCAAGGTGAAACCAAGCAGGAGACTGCAAAAATGCACACAGATAAAGATCTAAGAAGGCCACAGTGACCGGACCAGACTGGTTACACAAATCTACACACACGGGTCACCTCTTACATTGGGTGAGAAGAATAAGAATCCTAAAGTCCCAAAGGTTCTACTAGGACCCTAACACACAAGCACAAACTACTTGAATTTAGATCCTTCCCTGCTGGTTTTTACAAATATATGAGGTTTCATTATGAGCAGCAAAATCTATTTTAGATCAAAGTTAATTTTAAAAGTGTAATTTTAATGAAAACTTTATAAAGGTAAATATAGTCAAGTGGGGGCATGTACTTAATTGCTGAAACTTTTAAGGCAACAGAAATCAGACACTGCCCTTGTTCTGATATTAAATGCTTTCTGATTTACAGTATCTTGCTTTATTGGATATTTTTTATTTCTCATGAACTTTTAATTACTGTTTTCAAGAAAACCAGCTTCAATCCTAAACCTTTTCTCCCACATACATTAAGCAACACCATTTCATGCACAGAACACGTGAATATTTAAGTTTGACAACAGCTGGAAATGACTTGAGATGATCCTGCCCAACACACTGCTAAGTATTACCACCATTCCTATTTTCTGACTCAGGGTTCAGAGTCTAGTTACCACACAACAAACGAGTTGGTCAAACCAGATTTATCTTAGGGCGGTCAGAACCCCAGCACCACCTCTCAACTCGCTCTGTCATGCAAAACAGTTGTATTTTCAAAAGCTGCGGATCACCTCTGTGGCGCTGATCTGACCTCCCGGCCAGCACCACCTAGACCAAAACAAAACAACAAAAAGCGCTCCAGAACAAGCTTCCTTTCTGTGGTTAGCCGCCTTCTACAAGCTGCCAAAACCCAGCTAGGTCAGACTCCAATCACCTTCACAAAGTTAGAGCCGGCGCCCTATCTGCCTTCAGGTGAGGAAGTGGTCCAACCGGAAGGTTGGCTCCAAGTTTGTCGTGAGCTAAAACAGGAGATTCCCCAGATTAGGAATGTTGAGGACTAAGATTGGGAAATATGGGTGGGGAAGGTTGGCCTGCCTGTAAATGTTGCCAGATGTTATGCAACAACAACTAAGGATAAAGCATGAAATAATAAATGCAGTGTTTTAGAAGTATTTTAACCTGTTCTCTGAGTCAGTTACCCAAAAGTAACTAAAAGTTATTCCTTGGATTAAAGTCACTGCCCTTTCTCCAGGACTCGTGAATGCCCAGAGCCCGGTCAAGAGACCTGAGAAGGGGAAAGGACCCAGCGCCACCCGCAAAGTGCACTCCGACTCCCTTGCCAACTTTGTCTTAATTGCGGTGGCCGAGTCACAGACCTCGACCCGGCAGTCCGACCCCGCGGGCCCCGGTGCCCAAACCCCGCGGGCCCCCGCCTCGCCGCACTCACTTGTAGGGCACCGGCCAGCGACGCCCAGAAGCCGGGGACGCACCCAGCGCCACCGCCAGCTCGAGCAGCGCCAGCGCCCAGTGCCAGGCCGCGCCCCGCCGACTCCCGGCCTCCGATCCCGCGTTCGCCGCCAACGCCATCCACCGCTCCGCCGCTTCCGCCTCCTCCTGGTCCCGCGCGGTCCCGGCGGCCGATCGTGCGCGTCGCCGCGGCGGGGGAGTCGAGAGCGAGCTCCAGCACCGGCGCGTGATCTCCGGGCGCGTGATACCGCTCCGCTGTCTGGATGGCCGGTTGGGCTCCTCCCCCGCCTAGCACCCTGACTGCACACCCACAAGGAGCTTGGGGAGGCCATGAAACTGCCTCACCATCCTGGCCTGGGCCCCTTGTGTGTCACTGTTCTGTGGTGCACAGGGCATAAGGATCACTGTGGCGCTGATCTGACTTCCCTGCCATCACCACCCAGACCAAAACAAAACAACAAAAAGCACTTCTGGGCTTCTCAGCACTCAACTCAGCCTAGCCCACATGGCACAGGCTAGGTGCCAGGTCATTTTGGTGGATGGTAATCTTTTTCTTGGGGGTAGTGGGCGCAATGAGGAAGAAAAACTGGGGACATAACAGGAAATGAGTTGTCACCTGGCCTGACCAGAGCTATGGTCTGTGCAGTGGTGGGCCCTAACGATACAGTCTGTACTGACACCTCTGAGTGTTAGATGTAAGGCCCAGCCTGTGTCCACCGTTAGTGGAATCAACCTCTATGCGGAGACATGCCCTGGTCTTCTCCCCAAGGGTTAATCCAGTGGGGTAGGATAAGGACCTGGCTAGAGGCCACCCTTAGGAACTTGGGTTCACTCTAAGATAATGTGCCAGAATTCTCATAGTGCAGTCCCTATAGCCTCTGTGAGCTTCGGCTGCCTCTGAGTGGCCAGAGTGTGTCTTTTATTCCTACCCTTTGCTTTCCTTCTTCCTTTCAGACAGCTGTGAGATTTACAGCTTGCCTGCCCTGGAGCTTCGTTTTTAAACTCTAAGTTGTCCTTAATTTGAGTCTGTTCTTTGCTCAAGTTACCATTTGTGTCCAGTCCTAAATTCTTTCTTAATAGATGAAGAGCCTGAAGATGGGACCCCAAATTCCCAGGTATTATATGATGGCTCTGCTGGAACTCCCCAAGTCTGGTAATACTTCTTTCCTGACTTTCAATTCTTTAATTGGCAAAGAAAATGAACCCACCTGCACCCTTAGATGGCATCACCAACAAGCCAGATTTGGTAGCTACCCCCCAAAACCAATTAAAATAGCTGAATTAATCATGAAAAGCAGAACAGGAAAATTTATTCAACGTGGCTCTTTACAAAGCTGTAAGACTGCAGCTCTGTGAGCTCCTGTCCTAGGGGGCAGAATTCTGTGGAGGGAAAGTACATTATTATTTCTCCTATCTCTTTAGCATAGCTTCAGGTGAACCTGCCTTCCTGAGGGGTTGTCCCTTGGCCAGGTGATTGACAGGCCCAACTGGAATGTTAGGTCTCCACTCAGGCCAGAGAGTCTATTCTCTTGACCAGAAGTGGTTTTCTTTTAATGGGCCTTTACTGATGCTGTAAACAATAACCTCAGCTGCACAGTGGAACTTCCTGCCCAGCTCAGGACTTTCCAGAGCTACAAATTGTTGTTGGTCAATGTCAAGGAATCTCCCTCTTGTATCCATAGCCTCCATTCTGTTCACAGAGTTCTCAAGGGAAGAAAGGATTGCCTCAAATGGGCCCCAATAGCCTTCTGATAACTCCTATCTGCTGTGATCTGGTTCTGCCCTCTGAAGTACCTTGGATGAAGCCCTGTCCTTTTTTGACTATGTGTGTACATCCCAGGCTAATGATGCTTGTAGCTATTGTTGTCTGATCCTTCTTCACACTGGTCATTTCCTTCTAGTCCATGACTTTTAAAATATTTTCTTATTTTTATTTTATGTGTATGAGTATATTGCCTGCATGTATGTAAGTGCATTTATGTCATGCAATGCCTGTGGAGCTCAGAAGAGGGCATCGGATCCCCTGGAACTGGAGTTACAGATAGTTGTTAGCCATCATGTGGGTGCTGGGAATCGAGACCTGGTCTCTGTAAGAGCAGCCAGTGCTCTTGACCGCTGAGCCATCTCTCCAGCCTCTAGTCCGTGACTTTTCAAGCTTGAGAACAGTTAGATTTCGATCCACTTGGCTTCCCTCAGGTTCTTTCCTTGCCTAGCGTGCATAAGATTACTGGGTACATCACCATAGTTCAACAAAATTGGGTTTATCAGGCCACTGCAATGTGACATGGTTGCCAGGGGAACTGTGTGGATTCTGGGAAAGGGTAGAGATTAAATTGAAGTGAGCCATGTTTTGGCAGACTCAAAGCAAAGCAGCAATATGTAAGTGCACAGGAGCTGTGGCAGGCTCCATGTGTGAGCACACAGAAGCAGGATGAGGCCTACTGTACATAGTGGACCAGGATTCTTTTTGGTTATAAACTTGAAAGTTAAAATAGTGATGGAATTTCATGTCCAGAAACCCTTTATCAAAAGCTTTGTGTCTCTCTGGGCTGTATAGTGTGAGGCTGATTCTCAGATTCTCCAGGCAAAGGTGGGCTCTTTCATTCTTGCTAAGTAGGAAAATCTTCTTTCCAGTAGGAAAATTTAACTATAATTTTAGAAGACAAATTTCTTGGTGAATAAGAAAGCAGGGTGCCATCATGACACTTGATAGTGATCCCCCCTTGTCCTTTATGAACAATAGCTCACTAATAGTTAACAGGCTCCTATCCTTGCTCATTAAGAGTTAACAGACTTCTTTGCACTTTGTTGATGTAGAGGCTTGAAGGGGCAGTCTGCTCCCAGGATGCTGGGAAGAAGACCTGACGGTTGTCCTTAGCTCGGCAGCTGCAGCTGTCCCAGGGCAGGTTCAGCGCCCTTTTTTGTTTCTATATACATCAAAGGGGGCCTGTTACTGGGCCAGCCTCCGCAGCCTTGGGTGCACTGTGCTTGCTCTCTTACCATTATGAGCAGAGAATTCCTATGTGTTTTGCACTACTTGAGCATTTATCATATGTAAACTATTTTTGAACTTTAAACACTGATCTTCCAATAAAAGCTCTCAAGAGGACAGTAAATGTGCTCTCGAGCAGACAAAATGTCGAGAGTCCCCTGGTCTAATTTCAGTTTGGGGGAACAGATGCTGTGGTGGGTTTCTACAAGTGGTGCCCAAGCAGGAACAGTCCAAAGCATAAGGAATCTACTGAAAATGCTGGGGAAAAATGGAGCTCTGGTAAACGTGTAAAGGGCCCATTCCAGGAGGCTGGGGTAACCATGGGACAAGCCCAAAGTAAGTGGGAAGATTACATGCACTTGTTCCACATGATTCTTAAAGCATCGGGAGTTAGAATAAAAACAAAGAATTTTTACGAGTTTTCCGAATATATAGATAAATATTTTCATTGCCTGCCTCTTGAAGGAGATGCTGCATAGGCAGCAATAAGAGGATTTGCTGTGAGCATTTAAACAAACACACAGATAGCGAAAAATTATCCTTTAAATGTTTGGTATCTATGTAATCTTATAACTTTGGCTACTCCATCTTTACAGATACCTGCTCCTTTGAAGGCAGGTGATCAAATGATTTTATAAGAAGAGAGGGATAATAGGAGTACTCGTCCCTCTAAATTCAGTTTTCTAGTTCTGTCTGTCATAAGAGATTGAGATTTGGTTTTGTTTGAATGTGTAGCTGGCTAAATTGTTGAGGTGAGTGATTAAATACCCGCTTTGAGTCTAAAATAACATACTAAAGGATTTGTCCTATCAGTGTTGTCCTGGCCTGTCTTATCTGACTCAAGGAGAGGTCAATTCCACTAACAGTGGGACACAGGCTGAGTCTTACTTCTAACACTCAGAGGTGTCAGCACAATGTCGTTAGGGCCCACCACTGCACAGTCCATAGCTCTGGTCAGGCCAGGTGATGACAACTCATTTCCTGTTATGTCCCCAGTTTTTCTTCCTCATTGTGCCCACTACCCCCAAGTAAAAGATTACCATCCACCAAAATGACCTGGCACCTAGCCTGTCTGTCCTTTGTCCATGGAGTCCCTGACCTGTTGCATCCACAAATCTATGCTGACAATAGATTGTGGAACCAAGGACACAGCTCCAGCAGCCAGGGGTCTATCGAATGGCAATGGGCATTCTCTTTCCCCCTTGTCCGAACACTCCCTGCAGTAACTGCTGGTGGCCCAGATTGCTATGCTGGGAATTGCTCAGAAAAGATTCCTCAGCCTTGGGGTCTAACAGACAAATGGCTTTGGTGTTCATTTATTAGTGTGGACCATGGGCTGATAGAGTTTTCCCAACTGACTTAGTAGTCATATGCCTGGATGTTAGCAAAGCCTTTCTCAATCTATGACCGGAGCCCCAGACTGGGCCAGGTCATTTGTTAATATTTGAGCCTGGGATAAACATGTGAAAAAAACAACTAAAAATCAGGATAAATCAAAGAGCCCTTTGTAGCCAGCACTCTAAAACTCAGCCTTCCCCAAGCAGCCTCTTTGAGCTGGCAGAGGGGCATATGACACCATCGTAAGGATATGTTCTACTATTACTTCCCCTCCTGGGAATGAGGTCACTTAACATGGGGACAGTCCCTGTTCTCAAGTGATCTTCAAAAACATAAATATACCAAGACTCAAATAGGGCATTCGCCTTAATTCTGACTTCATTGACTTGATTTCCAAAACAAATCCTGATCTCTGTAGTGGAAGAAAGGGAGCCCAAAAAAGAAACTAGACTCTGTTTATCTTTAATAACAAATATTAATTAATGTGCTTATATTACTTTATATTAAATTGTATTTGTAATTTATGATGTTTAATATTGCTAATTTAATTCTTGATCAGTACCTTACATTCAAAAAGGCTTTCATTTTTCTCTAATTTCAACAAAGCAGTTGATAAGTGATTTCCTCATAATCTTGTTCACACCTATGGATGATTGATTAATTATCTTAGATAAATTTGGAAAAGTTAAAGGATAAAAAAACAAAAACACTGTTACCACTTTTTTTTCCTGTTTGTACAAAGTTTTAAAACTAAAAATTCTAAATTTGAAAAAAGAACAGTGTTATCGATAAGGTACTGTCTTTACAATATCTTAAAATGTGAGTTTCTTTCTTCAAACAAAAGCTGGGATTACATACCCTTAATAAATTTTAACAATCCATAGTTACTGTTAAAACCAAAAATTCTTTATTTCTATTTTTATTTATTTATTTTATTTTATTTTGTGGTGCATACTCAAATTTTATTTATAGTAGAAATATTCAAAAGTTGAATACTTTAAGTTTGAAACATTTAACATGAGTACTGTTTTAAAGTTTCATGCCACTTCCTCCACTGACTTCTTAGATTCTTTTTTTTTCCCCTTAGTAAAAGCAGATATTTTAACATATATTATGGAACAGGCTCTACACTGAATTATTTACATGTATTAATTCATTATACAATCACTCTGAAAGATACTAGTAAGCTAGATCTAGGACTTGTAGTCTTATCTACAATTCTGTAAAGATTCTGTTGGGAAAGAGGAG